TATCAATTGAGATGATAATGTGATTTTTGTCCTTCTTCTGTTTAGGAGATACAGTACATTAACTGATTTCCATATGTTGAAACACTTTTGTATTCCTGGAATGAAATCTACTTGACCATGGTATATGATTTTTTTTAAGAGAAAAAAAAAGTAAAAATAGCAATAAAACAGAGTTTCAAAATAAGCTCGTAGAACAGTAACAATAATGAACACATTCCCTATTGTTGTCTACATGGTAGTTATTCAGAGTATAAGATATAGGCATGAAATGCTGTCCAAACAATATTTCTTTTTTAAAGAAGAAAAAAATTAGAAATATAGTAAAACAGAGTTTCAAATTAGGATAATAGAAAAGTAATGATAATTAATACATTGTACATTGTTATCTTCATAGTAGTTACTCAGAATATAATATATAGGCATAAAATAATGTCAAGACACTATGTCATTATTAGCATAAATCTTTCTTTTCAATTAACTAAGAGAAACTAGCTATATATCTATTATATTTCTCTTCCTTTCCCCTTTTTCCATTAGTTTCTCTTTTCTTTTAAACAATACCTATTACACATTTTGCATCTTAATCACTTATTCGGCTTCTCTAACTAGTGAGACAATGTGATATTTACACATGTGGATCTAACTTATTTCTCTTATGACTATGGTCTCAAGTTGCATCCATTTATCTATCAAAAATTCTAGTTTATTCTTTATAGTTGAGTAGTACTCCACTATATTAAAAAAAAACTTTTTTATCCATTCCTCAGTTGATGGGCATTTGAGTTGTTTCCAAGATTTAGCTATGTATGACAAATTGTTCTGCTATAAACACAAGTGCACACATATCGCTGTGGTATTATGTTTTTAATTATTCTGGGAAGACACTCAGAAAGAGAATAGTTGGTTTGAATGGAACCTCTAATCCTAGTTTGTTTTTTTTTCTAATCCTAGATTTTTAAGGGATCTCCACACTGATTTCCACAGTGGTTGCACTAGTACACACTCCCACTAACAGTGAAAAACAGTTCCTTTTCCCCTGCAGCCCCACAAGCAATTGTTATTGGTTGATTTCTTTATGATAGTCATTCTTTTTGAAGTAAGAAGGAATCATTCTTAATCATTCATTTACACTGGGGTATGATCTTTTGATGATTTGCTAAATTATGTTTGCCAGTATTTTGTTAAGGATTTCTAAACATCTATGTTCATTAAAGATACTGGCTTGCAGTTTTCTTTTCTAGTCGAGTTCTTGTCTGGCTTTTAAATCAAAGTACTGCTGTATTTCAAGAATAAATTTAACAGTATTCCTTCCCCTTCCCTTTCAATTTCATTAAAAAGCTTGAAGACGAATATCATCACATCTTTGCTGACGTTCTTGTAGTATTAAGTGGTGAATCCATTAAGTCCTGTATATTTCTTCATAAGGTTTTTATTATTGCCTCAAATTCATTGCTTATTAATTCAGGATTATTCAGGGTTTTTATATTTTCTTGGTTGATTTTTGGCAATTCATATGAATCTAGGAATCTATCCATTTCTTCTAGATTCTCCAATTTATTGTAGTATAGTATTGGGATGCAGCTACTAATAATCTTCTGGGTTTTGATAGTGTCTGTCCTGACTTTGCCTTTTTTGTTTCTAAGTACATTGATATGGATCTATTCTTTCCTTCTTCTGACAAGATTATCTAAGGATTTATCTATTGTGCTTACACTTTCAAAGAATCAGTTATATGGTTCACTGATTTTTAGGCCAAATTTTGTTAATTTCTGCTCTAATTTTAGCAACTGTTCTTGTTTTCCTAGGACCTCAAGATACATGATTAACTCGTGTTTAAACAGGTGTTATTACAATGTATTGTGATAACTGCTCTATTACTTTATTATGGTTGTTAATCTCTGTTTCTAATTTGTAAATATATGTTCCCATAGGTATTTACAAAAAAAAATAAAAGAAAGAAAGGTAGAATATAAAGCCTAAGTACTGCAATGGAAGGGCCAAAAGCTAAGTGCTTAAGTGCCTTAGAGTGCCCCCAAAAGTCCTACTTCTGAGAATAGATACAAAAGCCAAAGTTGCTCCAAGAATGTACAGCCTTATGTATCATGCCTTGATTCCATCTTAAATGATTAAGTCTTGTTCAATAAATTCTCCTCAGAGACAATGATCATTCTCCATTTCCTAAATGAAAAAATCAGAAGCTAATAAGTCATATTTATTTTATTTCATCTAAAATAATGGAGAGATCAGAGATGGCTCAGTGTAATAAGCGCTTCCCTGGCAAGCACAAGGACCTGAGTTCAATCCCCAGTTCCGCAAACAAAACAAAACAAAAACCAAATAAAATAATGGAGTCGGGGGGATGACTCAGTGGAATAAGCGCTTCCCCGGCAAGCGCAAGGGCCTGAGTTCAATCCCTGGTTCCACAAAAAAATAAATAAAATAAAATAAAATATCTGTTAAATTTTATTGAGCTGTGAGCTTATAAATGTAGACCTACAATGTATGAAAGCCCTATTTTATTTTATTTTGGGGGGACAGGGTCTCACTATGCAGCTTGAACTGTCTCAGCCTCCCCAGTGCTGAGATTACAGGCATGTACCACCACGCCTGGTTCCAGGGTGGCATGGTGCCCTAGGGTTCTGGGGCCAGCTCAGGACAAGGGATCAAACTCAGGACCTTAAGTTTGCCAGGCCAGTGCTTATGCTGCCAAGCTATCTCCTCAGCCCATTATTTCCTTAAAATAGCTAATACTAAAGACTCACAAAATACTACCATAAGAAAAATCACTACTGTTATTAATGCTTCAACAGATTTGGATCACTTAGTAATATAATGACACATCATGGCTTAGAAAAGAAAACCAAATCTGTAGAGACAGAGAGCAGATTAGTAGTTACTACAGCTAGGGAAGGAGGATGGAAGAGAAGAGTGATAATGAAAGGGTATGGAGTTTCTTTTAGAGGTGATGAAAAGAATTCTAAAATTGGCTGTTGGGATGGGTGTACATAATGCTAACTATACTACAAGCTGTTGAATTGTACACATGAAATATATATGAATTACATCTTTCTTTTTTTTTTTTTTTTGGTAGAACTGGGGATTGAACTCAGATCCTTGTGCTTGCCAGGAAAGTGCTGATTCTACTGAGCCATCTCCCCAGTTCCTTGAATTACAAATTAATAATGCTGTTTGTTTTGGTGTTTGGTTGGGTATTGTTTTGAAGTGCTAGGGATCAAACCCACAACCTCACACATGCTAGTCATATGTTTTATTACTAGCTATATTCCTAGACTGATAAGGTTATTTTTTAATTTATTTTATTTATTTTTATTATTATTATTTATTTATTTATTTATTTTGTGTGTGTGTGTGTGTGTGTGGCCAGCTCAGCCCACCAGGGGGCGGGGCTGGCTGGCATGTGGTGCTGGGGGATTGAACCGTGGTCCCTGTGCTTTGCTAAGCTTGTTCTAAGCAGGTGCTTTAGACCACTGAGCCATCCCACCAGCCCTGATAAGGTTATTTTTTAAAAACTACTGAGATTTTGATAGGGATTACACTGGAATCCACATATCAATTGTAAGAAAACATTTCTACAATTATGACTCTTTCAATATATGAAATTATAGTTCTCTATTTATTTGGGTCTCCTTCAGTTTTTCTCAAAAATGTTTTATACAATTCCACATAGAAGTATTGCACATACTTTATTAGATTTATTCCTGGGTATTTTATATTTCTGATGTTCAGTGTTGAATTTTTTAATATGTGATAAGAAAATGAACAGAGCAGAGTATGCATAGCACTAAAAATTTAAAACAAAAAACTATGCACAGGTCAATTTTTTTTTCTGATTTCAAAATTTATAGAAAAATCATACAAATATACATACTTGAAATATCACATTTATGAAAAAAGAATACAAATACCTAAAACTTTCAAGTATTCTTGAAAATTCCATGACAAATACATACCACAGTAAGCAAATGCTTCTTTACTGATATTTGATGTATTGCTTAGTTTATAGTAAAAACAGACATTGTTTAATTTTATCTCCATATGTAATCATATATAATCAGTAAAATTCATTGATAGCAAAGAAAACTTACTTAGTCATAGCTTCAAGTTTGTCTGAGTTATTTCTACAAAAATTGTTAGATTAAAAAAAACAACTCTAGTTCCAACTAGCTTTTTTTTTTTATACTACAAATCAAACTCAGGACCTTTTGCATGCTATACCGTCACTATGCTACTGAGCTATAACTCCAGGCCTCCAATTAGCTTTCAAATTGTTATTTCTATAATAAAGAAATAGCAAAATCTAAAAGTATATTAAAAAATTAGATGTATATAATCTAAAAGACCCAGCAATTACTAATTTACATATGAAGAATCTCTACTTTTATTCTAGAATTAGCAAAGTCCCTAAATATAATTCATACTAACCTTAAAAAAATACATTCACTCTTTATGGAAAATGTAAACTCATATGCTTTTGAATTATATCATTAATAGTCATAGTAATCTTACTGATATTAAAATAAAAAGTGTAAAATGACTTTAGAAGGCTATTTATAATTTTAAGATATTCTAGACATTTAAAAAATTTACAATCCAAATAATATGTTCATGAATGAGTCTTTTTTGTTGTTAGAATAATGTAAAAAAGGGGTTGGGGCTCAGTAGAATAAGTGCTTGCCTGGCAAGCGCAAGGGCTTGAGTTGAATCCCCAGTTCTGTTACAAAAAAAAAAAAAAAAAAAAAAACAATGTAAAAAAAAGGACTTCACCTCAGAGTCTCTTAAAACCTAAATAACATGGAAATGATCAATCTATAATCAACCATAATATGTTAATGGAAAGTTGCAATGAAAATGTTACCTGGTCAATGATGGAATTAAGCTTGGTAAGTAACAGAAATCCTCGTCCATGGACAAGGTACTGCCCAAGAGTTGCCATGTGTGTCTCCTCCTCTTCTTCCTCCCTGGCCTCCACCTTCTGGACCACTGCATTGCAGAGCCGGTTAACATCAGTCAGAAATTCACGTGCCAATAAGTTACTGTCAGTGCTCATGACCGAGCTATAACAAACATTAAAAAATATATATATATATATTAGAAAGATGAAAAGAAACATACTTTTAAACTATGTTTTATGTTGCTTATTTTTAACTGAAGATTGACTTAAAATTACTGACTATTGGTCTCAAACCCTATAATATCGTCAGGTATAGTTCTATCCTACTTCATACTCGCTAAATAATTCCTGAATGGCAAAAACAAGTTGCAAGTTTGAAATGCCTGAGCACAGCTAGGAAGAGGTAAATGAAGATACTTACAGAAAAGACACTAGTAAGTGTCTGGCAGCTAAAGTTCTGCCAATTCACTTCTTACTACATATTTAAATTAAATAAAGGGAATTTAAGACTAAGGAAAATAAATTAGCAAAGCAGTCAGACAAGAGCTGAAAACATAGATACAAATATAGAAAACAATGTATAAATATTCAAACCTGAAAAATCATGAAAAACAAAATATGCAGAGTTTTATTTTAAGACTAAAAGTAGTTTTGAGACATCCAATAACCTTTAAAAGATTTTTAACTTAGATATATTAAATGATGTAAGATCTATATTGCCTAGTTGCCCTTCGCCAGCTTTAGGAGAAAGCTTGCACTACTGTTCTGGCTGAGAGAACAGTGGGCCATATGACTATACCTATTACAAAGAGGCAGGGCTAAGCTCTGGCCTGTAATCAACAAAAGCACACCTGCCTGATTCAAGAGCAGCCAACATACATGTTGGATAAAAATGTACAGTGCAGCTTGCAAAGAGGAATTGGCCACTTAGGTTTAATTATGTTTTTTTTTTCTCTCTCTGCATATGCCTCTGTGTGTGTGTGTGTGTGTGTGTGTGTGTGTGTGTGTGTATGTGTCTCTGTGTGTGTGTCTCTTTCTCTGTCTCTCTCTCTCCCTTTTCTCCCCTCTCTTCCACCCCCCTCATTCGAATTAAAGGGACACAGTTATATAATCAAAGGTCATATACAAAAGTGCCTCTGGTGGTCATTATGATATAGGTGAGGCTCAAAAGAAGCCAACTGGTAAAAAGACACCAACAATATACAAAGAGAAACAAATTAAACACGAAAGTGAGAGGTCAGAGAAATCCCTCTACTACACTGATTCCTTCTCATTCTAGAACCTAATAGTACATATAACTTCTAGATTCCTTCGAGAATTCTAGGAAATATATATCTAGGATATATATAATAGTACCTCAGTTCACAAACTTAATTCCACGATTCTGCTTGCAAACCAAATTTGACTCAGTTCTTATCCAGTTAAGCCTTGTGGAAAGAATTAAGGTACCACTGTATAGGACATGGTTTATATAAAGATATTACCCAAAAGCAAGATATATAGGGTATATTTCAAGTTTTCTTTTGGTAATGGAGATTGAACTCAGGACTCTGAGCCTGCAAGGCAGACATACCACTAAGCTATTTATTTCCCTCACCCAAGATATATAGAATATATTGCTTACATCAGTGATGGCGAAACTATTAGAGATGAATCCCCACACTGCAACCCAAAATCCACTAAGTGCCAACACTGCAATTAAACCTAAATATTAGGTTTTAGCTCAGAAAAAAATAACTGATACTTAACGTCTTTTGTCTTAAAAGAAAAACGTGTGTGCCACAGGTTCACCAGTATTGCCCTAGATATATATTTCCTAGACTAATTTCTCAAAAATATTATTTTGATATTGAATACCGGCAAAAAGTATTTAAAATGTACATCACTCATTTTTTTTTTTTTGTCCACCTCAGCCCACCCTGAGGGTAGGGCTGGCACAGCATGTGGTGCCAGGGATTGAACTGTGGTCCTCAGCGCCTGCCTAAGCTTGCCTAAGCAGGCGCTTTAGACCACTGATCTATCTCACTGGCCCCAGTCACTCATTTCAAAATCCACCAATAATCTCTATTTACATAATGCTGGTTCCCTATAAATTTTCATGAAGTAAAATTATTCAATAAACTAATTACCTAGTTCACATTCAGTCCATATTTATCTGTAGAGATATAGATTTGAGACAAAAGCCTGATGTCCCAAGAAAGCAGGGAACACTGGACTGAGCCCGAGGAGGGTTGCTGTCTGTTTGCAAATTCCCGGCAAGCTGAGACCCAAGGCAGCAGATAACAGCTTCTCCGGCAGGCGCCCTGTCCTTTGATCCCTTGCTTGAGATGTTATCGGCTAGCATTTGGGTGAGCCTAGTGTTAAGCAAAAGGTGGAAGTTAATAGAGATAGTAGTTTGTATTCACTTAGGTAATTATGCACATTCCTTAGTCTGCCTTTATCCCTCAATAAATGTGAGATGCCTGAGGCTCTGGGCTCACTTGGAGAGAAACTAATCTCAGTGAGACCTCTGAAGCTACATTCATCAGGTTTTCTTGTCGTTTGTTTCAGCACTGACCCGTAACATACAACATTTACCTAACTTTATTTACACACAATAGCTACCTTGTCATTGATTTTAGGATACATATTTACTAAATGTATCACTGAAAAAGAAAATCTTAAAAACTATAAACATTCACAGCTTCACCATCTATGATGCAGCATTTCTTAAGTGCTGCTGCATTACTATTACTAGGATTTTCTTCTAAAGTGTTAACACTTCTGAAAATTTTAACATTGCTACTTTCTTGATCCTCAGTGTTTCAGAAAGGAACCAAAAGAACATTTAAAACTCAATAGGTAGGGCCGGGGAGATGGCTCAGTGGAATAAGAGCTTCCCTGGCAAGTGCAAGGGCCTGAGTTCAATCCCCGGTTCCAAAAAAAAAACTCAATAGGTATAGTACTAATACACACAGAGAACTCAGTCAAAGTATTGACAACTTGAATGGTTGGTTATTACCCAGTTCTTTCAGGAGCATTTAAGGTCAACAATATCATAGCCTCTGACCGTGCTTATAAGACACTATTGCAATTTTAAAATATTAAAATGTAAAAAGCTTTAAAAGTATGGTGATAATTAAAGCCTACAGGCTAGAAATTAATATAAATGAGATGGCTATGGTTTGACATGTCTTCCAACATCCGTGCGTTTGAAACTTAATTTTATATGTCAACTGTTCATATGTTAACTGTATTTGAAGGTGGGGATCTTTGAGAAGTAACCAGGGTTAGATGAAACCAGAAGCAAAGGGTTCCCATGATGGGATTCGTGACTTTATAAGAAAAGGAAGATGGGCAAACACACACATGACTATTGTCTGCTTTGTTTCATTTAGACATTTTGAAAAATTTTTCACATGAGCTGTCCTACTCTTCTCTATTTTTGTAACTTTTTAAATTAACAAATTACATACAACATGATGTTTTGAAGTATAGTCTGGCAAAAGATGTACATATCAGAGAAAAACTTGTATAAATATTTTAATACTATAATTATTAAGATATCATGAAATTGATACAAGTTACTTCTGGCCTTTACAATTATAAGAGTTAAAGAAGTGGCCATTAGTTTCTAGACAATTATTAGTATGGCGAATTGTTGAAGTATGTATGCATTTTTTGGCAAACTGTGTATTGTTATGGGGAAAACTAGCCAATTAACAATTATACTACTTCATATTGTTGTTATGGTTAGAACACTTAACATCTACTCTTTCTAAATTTTTCAAAAATATATCATTACTACAGTCACCATTTTGTACAATAAATCCCTATCATCTATAATTTATAAAAATTCTGAATCCTTCTGCACATCATTCATAAAAATTCCCATTCTTCTCTCAGACTACATTAGTTAACATTAACAACACAGTAAGCGTGATAGGGTACACTTAAGCTTTGTACATTAAATGTTCACTTCTTCCTAAAAGGAACATTGGATTTAACTGAATGCTTTTCGGCCATTCTGAATCCCAAATGAAAGGTTAAGCATTGTATTTTCTTTAAAATTTTCTAATATTCCACATACTTAGAAAAGTTAAAAAAATATGCAGCCTGAGTTTATATCTAGCAACCACTCCAGCAAGTATCAGCATTACAGTATGTTCAGGTCAATCCATGTTCCCACGCATGTGAGCACAAAGAAATCAAATCTTGGTCACAGAAAATCTAAACCCATATTTCTTTATAATTTATTTATCACTATATGATATACCCTTGTATTTTGGGGCATGTTTATAGTTATAAAAATGTTCAATAGTGTTTCAACTACTTAAAAGTTATATATTAAGGATACTCTGTGTACTTATAACTTACTTTTCCTTGTCAGGTTGTGTTCATTTCTTTAAACCCTCCTTCAATGTGTCACAGTATGAATAAATCACAATCTGTATGCCCATTTCTACCAAGGAAAAGTTTAGTTGTTTTTATTGTGGTAATTAATTAATTCTACTAACTATACAGTTTCAAGAATCAAGTGCCCTGGCTGCTAATATTTATTATATTGGATACTTACCAGTCTTTCAACACTTCTGGAACATTTAGTCTTTATAATTTGGGTTCATAAAGCAGAAGAAAGCTTCACCTACTGAAAAAAGACACAAGCATATTAATGGCAATAGTGAACCAAAAACAGTTTTAACAAAATTCTGACATAAAAATCAGTGGCCAACCTTTTTGTGTGATGTATGAAACTACCACCAGTATTTTTGTAACCTCAAAAACTATAAACATGCATAGCTTCAAGAAATGAAGACAGAGGGCTGGCCAGACAACTCAGAGGACTAAAGCGCCTGCTTAGGCAGAGCACATTGGCCAGGGCTGGCCCTGCCCCTGGGGCACACTGAGACAGTTGAGACTGGGCATGGTGGTGTACGCCTGTAATCCCAGCACTTGAGAGGCTGAAAACAGGAGGATCACTATGAGTCTGATCTATGTAGTGAGACCCTGTAGCCCCTGTACTAAATACATTGAATAAAGAAAGAAAAGAAAGAAATGAAGATAGAGTGTCTAGGACCATAATGCTTTGAACATAATCATGGCTGTCTAACCTTTCTTCACCCAACTCTGAATTTACACATTCTAGGCGAGTCACAGAATGATTTTTGAAAGTATGTAGATGGTATTCTACATACCATCTACATACTGAGCTGAGCTCTCCTCAGCTCTCCTCAGCTCTTCTCTGCCATGCCTTTCCAGGCATCTAGAAAGTGTATGCTTGCTGGTACTGAGATAATGCTTGTCTGGTGACTGGATATTGAATACAAGAGAAAAACATGCCAGCATCAGTCCTCTTAACATTGATTCTAGGAGGTGGTAGAATACCATTTCCATACATTCAAAAAAAAAAAAAAAAAGTGTTCACTTCAAAGTTCCTGCCTGTGTTATCCTGAAAAACCTATTATGTGGTAGGTTTTTCAGGATAAAACAGGGAGGAAATGGACAGTCAAATTATTATTCCCCTATTGAGGTGTTATGGTTTACTTACAGGTAACCCCCCAAGAGTATTGGGAAGGTGACTGGATTATGGGGCTTGCAATCAGGAGTTAGGACCTGGTTTGAAGAGGCAGGTCACTGCTATCATGGCCTGGAAAGGTTTATCTCCCTTCCAAGGTCTTCCTTTTCTCTCTCCACTCCCCTATCACCATCCTGTGAGCAGCTCTCCTCAGCTCTTCTCTGCCATGCCTTTCTGCTTTGGATCCATCTAACTATGGATTAAAATGTAAACCAAATAAACCTTTCCTTCTTTAAATTGTGGATGTGGAGTATTGTATCTCAACAACAAGGAAAGAGACTAAAACATGGCCAAAGGTATTTGAGAACTCAAAAGACTAAAATAAAACAATAATTAATTAGCACCAAATTTCCCATTCTTGAATTCTCTAATGAATTGATCTTCTGTGTACAATACAATGAAAACTATTTACAGAATACTAAAGAAAAGTTTCTACTTCTGGAATAGCAACACAATGTTTCTCTTTAGTTACTGTTTTCTTTTCTCTGTAGTTTTTACCAGGACAAAAACATGAAAAAATATTTCCTTATTATATTTATGGAAGTTTATTTTGAATCATAAGATTTTTGATAATTGACTTCTATTTTTTAATGCTCAAATCTAGAGAACTGTCAAGTTCTTTTCAGGGGCCAGTGAGATAGCTCAGTGGTCTAAAGCGCCTGCTTAGGCAAGCTTAGGCAGGTGCAGAGGACTGTGGTTCAATCCCCAGCACCACATGATGCGCCAGCCCCACCCTCAGGGCAGGCTAAGCCAGCCAAAGAAAAGAAAAGAAAAAAAAAAAAGTGAAAATGGAAAAAAGTTCTTTTCAGTTAGGCAAACAGTCCCCAAACCACATAATAGGTTTTTCAGGATAAAATAGGCAGGAAATGGGACAAATACCAAAATTTAAATTCAACATTATTACTGTAATTTTCCATTTCTAATACAACTACTGTTACAGTGTCCTAATAAAACTTGCTCCAACAATATTCCTAGAATGCTTATATTTTTAACATTTACCCAAAATTAAAAGTATAATAACAAATACTTATAAAAATATAAATCATCTTCTCAGAAGAATACTTTCTCTCATACAGTGACTGAGAAAATGTAAAATAAGAACAAAGTAACAATAATAGCAAAATCCAAAACAATAAAAACCTGATTTAACGTATGAGCATCAACTTTTGGTTTCAAATCATTAGAAACTTCATCAGTATGTCATGCAAATTAAACAAATGTTCAGTGAGTATTTACTATTTTTCAGCTACTATTTCAGGCACTGAGTATAGGGCATAATTAAAATCACCTTCCTGGGGTAAAGACAAAAACATATATGTACATCAGGCAGTGCTAAGTGCTATGAAAAAGTAGAGCAGTGTAAGAGAGACAGTAATGCTACTTTAGAAGATCTTAAGAGGTTAACTTTCAACAAAAACTTGAACAGAATGTAAAAACAGGTCATGAAGTCATCTGGAACGTGTATACTTCCAGGTACTGAGATAATGTTTGCCTGGTGTGCTGGATAATATTGAATACAAGAGAAAAAGAAGTCAAGAGTGACTACAATGATAGAATGAGAAAAGTCACTCAATCTTACTCTCAGGAGCTGAAGTATTTTGGAAACAGAAGTACGCCCCTGGAAATATTTCTGCCTCAAAATGTATACTCCCCAGGAAAAAAAAAAGACTATAAGGTTTTCCACCCTGTTAGAACACTATTGCTTACTGGTCAGTAAGATGACAGAAGAGCAAGTTAGGAAAGAAAACAGAGTTCCATTTCAGCTATGTTAAGTTTTCAGGTGTATTAAAAATTGGGCCAAGGAGATAGCTCAGAGGCATGAGAGCCTGACTGGAAAATGCAAGGTCTTGAGTTCGATCCCTGGTACAAAAACTAAGTAAAGGAGGTCAAATAGGTAGCCAGACATACAAAACCAGAGTTCAAGCAGGAAGGCTGGAACTGGAAAACTGATATGGGAATCTTTAGCATGTAAGTGTATTTTTTGAAGCCAAGAGTCTAGAGTGGATGCAATAACCCAGAGAATTGCTATCCAAGAGCACTTGCTGAGATTATGGCACTGTTATATAATCCCTGCTACCTAACACATCTGATAGCAGTCACATGTTGCCACTGATGCCAAAATGAATGGTGGAACCCTACAGAATGAGTATAGGTCTAGGACAGAGCCCTGCATGGGCTAAACATGACTGAGGCAAGGATAGGAGGAGTACCAGCACAGAAGGAAAAGAAGAAAGAGCAAGTGAGGTGGGAGAAAAATCAGAGCAGTATTTCCAGGACCAAATACCAAAACTGTGTAACAGAATAGAGTAAAAAAATCATACAAAATATTGCTAAGTGACTGAGGAGAGGAAGACTGAGAATTGACCACTGGATTCAGCTATCCGAAGTTCCTGACAACCTTGTCAAAGAATTCTCAGAGGTTTAGGAGAGTGATGAAGAAAGGAACGCAAGCAACTTAGAAAGCTCTTTTGGAAAGTTCTGACATGAAGCATACAAACAAATGGGGAATATCTTGAGGGATTGGGATATGAAATTTTTTTTTTAAAGATTGACATTAGAACATGTTTGTAAGCTGAGATATAACCTATTACTCTAACAGAGCAAAGATTAATTTAAAAAAAAACTAGAATGAAAAGAAGCACAGTGGCACAAACCTATAATCCCACTAATCTGAGAGGCTAAGGCAGGAAGATCACATTTGAGTCCCAGATGAACAACTTAAGAGACATAGTGAGATCCTGCTTCAAAATGAAAAATAAAGAAAGGGGTACAGCTCAGTGCTAAAGCTTGAATTCAATTCACAGTACCAGAGAGAGAGAGAGAAAGAGAATTAGAGAGACAGAGAGACAGACAGAGACTGAGACAGAGAGACAGAAAAACAGAGAGAGACCAAGACAGAGATTGAGATTTCTATAAACAATAAAGCCAAAATAAGGAGAACCTAAATATGTAAGCAGAAGAACACTGACAATTATCTAACAGGATAAGAACGATGTCAGAATACATGAGTAGAGATGTAGGCAGATTAAAACATTTGTCAGTGGAAGACCAAGAAGTTCTTTTTCAGTGCTCCTGTTTTCTTGGTGAAATAAAGAAGGTTGCTTGCTGAGAGTAAGAAATGAGGAGGAGGTGTTAACCTGCTGAGTGTAACAGGGTGAAAAACAGCACCTCTAAGAGACTTCCCATGAAGGTGCCAATGAGTTTACGGTAAGACTAAGTTCTGCTATTTAATAACAGTAGCTATATTAGGATTGATAGAATTCTTCCTTGTATTCCAAAGGATGGAGTGACAGAATGACTATCAAATACACCATGGAAATCCATATATGTATTATAGCTGAGGCATTTTCCTAACACGTACATGTAGTATTCCTATCAAAAGTAGGAACTGGGTTATCTAGAATGAATTTTTCTTTATTGCTCATCTTTTTCTTTTGTAAATATTTGTAAATCGTTTAAAGTGATCTCTAGAGTCTTTTGTGGCAATTACATCAATTTATTAAAATCTAAGGCTATATCCTTTTTAATGTTGGAACTTTATACCACCAGTCTAAAGTTTTCACATTTGCCATAATTATTCAAAGATTACAGCTCAGCAACGCTATTAACAAATCTCCTGAAATTCTGACCCTGAGATGTGAATTTGCTCAGAGCAGCCAGAGGTTCTGGCACAATCTCCTCCCCAGGCTAGGGTTTCAATTTTTTCCTATTATTTCTCTTACTTCCCCCTGTGTTAGTCTGCACATAGATGACTCTTCACATCAGAGAAGACAGAAAACAAGCTGATGGTTTCATTCATACTCTATCCATATAGCAGCTGTTTGCTCAGAAGAATGCACTATTGGGCCAGCCTGATAGCTCAGCAGACAAAGTGCCTCCTAAGGCAGAGCACAGCGGCAAAGGTGCTATCCCCAGCAGGCCATGCCAGCCCCGCCCCCAGGGAGCACTGAGACCGGCATGGTGGCACATGCCTGTAATCCCAGCACTTGGGAAGCTGAAAACAGGAGGATCACTAGGATTCTGATCTACATAGGGAGACCCTGTCGACTCTGTCCTAAATACAGAAAAAATAA